GACTTTCCTACCTTTTTTCACAGTCAGACATGCATGTTGTAGTTCTAACACGCGTGAAAGCCCTACATAATGAAAGCCCGATGCTGATTGGCTGCTAAAAAAAATAATTAAGATGTTTATTTTTTGTCAGCCAATCAGCATCGAGCTTTCATTGCATCGAGCTTTCACGTTTGCCATCTTGGTTTTTGAGTCTGTTTTCTGGTTGTCATCGTCATCTTTTACCCCTCAATTTCCCTCTAAAATCAAAGCCCTGCCCTCTTTCCACAAACTTAAACCGGGAAAAGTTCCGTACTCGGACGCCAATTTATCTGCTGCCAAACATATTAAGTGTCATTTAGTCAGCTGTTTTGGTGAGTCTTTCCCTTCCTATATAGGAACGGGGTCCTAAAAGTAAGGATTACCAATTGTTTATATTCTTTAGTTGGACACCTCGTCGCAAAAGTAATTTTAAGAAAGCAAAATGTAAAATTGTCCAGTTTCCGGACACTTCACAATGAATATTGAATGGCTGCTGCTACGGTATTTGGTTACTCCTAGAACTATGATGCTCCGCGTGAACGGAGCCGCATAGACACAGAACCCCACAAAATGGTTAATTGCAGCACAATCCCTCATGACATATCGTCAGTCCACCAAAAACGACCAGGATATGTTTTGACGCACTCGCATTCAATTTGCGTTGGACAACACGCGCTATCTGCCTCAATTATGGTGAGTCGAGGATACTCGTGTAAGTTGCGCCTATCAAACATCGGTGGATTCTGTCGGTTTTTAGGCCAAAATGATGAAAAATATGCCCTTTCCGCACTGAGCCAACCTGACACTAGAAACGTGCACAAAGATAATGATCGATCACTGATTTTCGGTTCGCTCGGAGCACGCTGCGGGGGAGCGGTACTTGCACTTGTACGCATGAGCGTATCATTTGCTTGCGGCGTGCTCCGAGCGAACAGAAAATCATCAATCAATCAAATCTGCGTACACGTTTCAAGAGTCAGGTTGGCTCAGTGCGGAAAGGGCATATTTTTTCATCATTATGGCCTAAAAACCGACAGAATCCAGCGATGTTTGATAGGTGCAACTTACGTGCGTATGTCATGAGGTATTGTATGGAGTTTATGGGCAAATTGTGCAGCGGTTCTGTAGAAAATGTCTATGTTTTGATGAACGTTTTTGTACTTAGTTGGTGTGTTGTAGTAGCAAACAATTTTGCGAGGTTCTCTGTCCATGAGGCTTCGCTACGCGGAGCATCATAGTTCTAGGAGTGACTGCTAGGGTAGTACTCAGTACTCCCTACTATTCTACATCACTTCCTTGTGTTGGTTCAGAATCAGAGGTGTTGGAAAGAATGTTGCAACCTGATGCTGCTTTTTCCCTCATATATCATCTCAATGAAGGTCAGTCATTGCAAAAATGATAAAACATGAATCTGGGACTGAGAAACATTTCCAATTTTGTTAGGAAATACTGAATTTTGTTTGACTCTCCATAGACTTTGTACACAACCGCTGAAGTAGCGTCAGGTTGCAACATTCTTTCCGAGGTGACTGTTGGCTCCCAACGAAAGCCTTCTAAAACCTCTTCCACCGCCTCAAAAGAGATCCCATCTGCGAGTGGTTTCTTTGTTAAATGTTTTATGCCTGGTTTTTATGAACTACCACTTTGAAAACTTATTCATTCATTAATTAGACATAGGCATTTGCCCGTGGTCTCCTCTTCAAATTATACACAGTTGGGATCACTGGCGCCGCTCCCACCACAGCCCGTCTTTCCAGTGCTGCTGCTTTCAGTTCGTTGGTGTCACACCCAGACCATTCAGGGATGTTGTCCACCCAGCGCATCTTTGGCCGGCCCACGGAGTGACGACATCCCACTGACATCCCATCCACAACAGCTGCCGCCATGCCGCCATGCCGGACCACATGGCCCAACCATGCTGCCTTTCGTTCCATCACAGTGCTATTGCTGAAGCACCACCGGTCGACGATCATCTCTATCAGTCTTTCATTTGTCACATGATCTTGCCACTTGATGTTGAGCAGGTGACGCCAAATGGTTCGGCCAAAACTGTCTAGGCGTTTGACGCCAGCTGCCTTCAACGACAGGGTGGTGGCACCATACAGTACCCTTGATATGACTAGGGCCCGAGCAAGCTGTACCTTTACCTCAAGGCTGACGCGGGGAGAGCGCAGATACTTGCACTGCCGAAGAGTGGATCTGCCCATACCTAACCGCATCCGAACCTCCTTGCTGTCCTTGTTGAAAACTGCTTTGAAGATTTGGATTTGAGTAGAAAATGAGATTTTCTACTGATTTTATTGACGTAGCCGTTTTATACATTCACATTTTTTTTTTTACATCATACATGTTTACTTGACAGTTTTTCTCATGTTTTTTTTTTCGCAACTATAGGCGCATCCATCAGTGCGGATGAAAGGCGCTGAGGCAGACTGGACACCCATACAATGCACAGACAGGGAGTGTAGCCACTCCTTGATGAAGGCTCCGCATCTGCACTGTCCATTCTGCTCCCAGGACAGTCTCTTCACTGATGAGATTCTCCTCAAGGCGCACTACAGGGTCAAGCACGTGGATAAAGGCATCAACTTTGGGGGTGAGTTTGCATTTGGGAACAAGACCAAGCGCTTGCATACATGTGACTGGATCCCAAGAAATATGTTTTAGGTTAAGCCAAAGGACAATGTTTTTCACTTTCTCTTCACAGGTCATGCTACAAGATGACTTTTAAGGTCCATGTGAGTTGAATGCAACACTTGTCTAAGTGACAAGCCTGCCGAGTGCAGCAAGATCCATCAGGTCAAAAGTCTGAAGGCCAAATTGCCTCTGAGTCTGTGGTCCTCGAACGCATCAGGATACAACTGAGGCATTGTTCAATGGGATTAGCTCTCATTGTTTCAGAACTGGCTGTTAATGCACTGGTGTTGATAGCTGAAATGCAGCAAAGTGCACCAGACTTTTCCACCTGATGCACTGTGCTGCATGTGGCAGAGGGTTAATTAAGATAAGTTGAAGGCAGTGGACAGCAGGACAAGATAGTGGCATTTGTTGAAGTTTTATGAAATTGACAGATACCTGGGCTGGTTATTCTTAGCAGATACCAGTGTTTGATAGACTCAATTGTCACAGGCCATGCCCAAGCGCCGGCTGTGTCTCAGGAAAAACTTTGCATCCGGCCTGCCTGAACAAGAGTCCTAACTCAGGTCAATAGCTTACTTGTGCCTGTTACAGCAAGAGAACCATATAAAAAGATCCACTGTTCATGTTTTGTCAAAGTGCATATAGCTGTCAGCTTTTGTCAAAATTGCCAAACCAATCCTCTACTGTATCCCTCCCCAGGTCTTAAAATATTGCGGTGATGTAGATCCTGCATCGTCCACGGCATCATTCACGAGCAGAAATACTTCAAGGGTGCCCACTCGCACTGCTACCACTGTCACAACGGGTTCAGCAGGAGGGACAAGGCTATGAAGCACTACCAGCAACACTTCCGTAATCCAGAGACCACAATACAGATAGTTATTACTCGGGTACAGTATGTCATGGTCAATTTTACAATCATGTACTTCATTTTATCCCAGTGGGCACATCAGACTGCACGTACAATACATGTAAACCACAATTCATAAATACCTATGGCAGTTTATCCATTCCTATTGGTCGAGAAGCTGCTATGTGGCCGGTCTTAAACGGATGATAAAGACATGGCTGGCTGGTCTTGAACTCTTTTCCAGTCTCACTTTAAATTTTGGCTCCTATGAAATCCAGTGCCTCTTTCCATTTTATTGGTCCTCACGTAGGCATGCGCAATGCTACCAGTGAGTCAGTATTTCATAGTCCTAAAATTCACAACGCAACGCCCCAGGTGCGTTTTGCATGACATCGCGCAGTATGTGCGACGCGTGTGCCTATCTCCAAAAAAGGAGATGTTAACATCTTACTCGCGAGCTGGACACTCCATTATTTAGCTATAGAGGGGTGTTAAAAAAACATGAAGTGAACTTGTTGAGCAAAATCAGGTTTTTTTACCAAAAGGTTTGGATTTTTTTGACCGAATAGGTATTTATGAATGGGAATAAATATGTGCTTGGTCGGTATTTAAGTTTAAGACCGCTTGGAGTCTGGGTCCTGATAAATACCATCGCCTTCGACTCCAAGCGGTTTTAAACAGAGTGATTAAAGGGAATGTACATCATTGGCTTTTGCTGTAATTTTCAGAAATGAACTATTTGAGGGGTAGGTATTATAGATCGAATATTGTTACACTGACATTTTGAAGTTTTGAGTTCGAAAAGGTTGGAAAAACCAAGAAAAACAAAAATGTTCAAGTAGTCTGGTTCCCTGACTCCACAAAAGATAAAATGGATCAATTTATTGATGGTGGAAAATTGTAAGGCAAGGGAACCAGTCTAGCTGGCCTGCACCCGTTCATGAACATGTAACCAATAGCAAACAAAATTTGGACTGAAAAAATGGTAAATTTGGAGCAGTAGTTGAAAAATGGTTAGGTTTTTCCAACGCTGATCGGCCGACCACCGTTGGAAATGTGTACAAAAATACAATTTTCTTGAAAATGACTTCACACCAGGTGCCATAATTTTACAAGATGCTTGAGACTGTCATTTACCAACATCCTAGTAAGGTATTTCGTAAAAACTTGGTAGTTTTATTTTTCGATGTTTGCAAATGTTGTATATTCCCTTTAAGACCTTCCAAGCATACTTTTATTCCCTTTAAACTGCATCAACAGTGATAAGCTATTAAACATTGGCACAGGTGGGTAAACTACCATGGTTCACTCAGAAAATGTTGTAAATTCCTGATGCTTGAATTCCGGAGCTCATTGGACTTATTTATAGCTTTAAAGACTCTCTGAAATAAATTTCACAATCAAACATTTGACTCAAGTATTTATTCTTTTGTGAATGATTAGAGACACCTTTTTTGCTCAAACTGTTTGAAAATGCACTTATTTTTTTAACCTTCGCAGTTTCAGTGCTGTTTCAAGACAACTGAGTATGCCGTTGCTGTAATGTAATGGTCCCCTTTGAAACAATGAAATAAATTTAATCAGTTGAAATTGATGTACCTTGTGAGCAGGTATGGTGGTTTACAAGGATTTTGGTGGATTTTATCAAATGCCAACACTTAGGGTCTTTTAAAATAATTAAGTTTGAACTTTAATTTTTCCTTGTACATTTGCGGTGTAAATTGAATCTTTTGCAACCCTGCAGGTTTTGTCTCATTTTATCATCGTCAACCACTTCACTTCACCATTTTACCCAGTATGTCAACTAGATCTTCACCACATACACTGACCCAGCACCCAACAGTGCCAGCCTGGTAACACACCTCATAGTCCCCCAGTCACAGCAGCCATCGGAGACAGACACATCATCCCCGGGGCTATGAGCAGACTGATGGGCAGCAGCCGCAAATCGAGTACCAGTATGCCTGCATCAATGATCCGAGCCAGAGCACTGCCAATGGGGAAGGTAAGATGGTAAGAATATTAACCCTGACCCTGCAAGAATCCTTCAGCATCTACGCAGAGGTTAAGGTGGATAATGCCACCAGCAGTGAAGGATAATTAGAAGAAGCTGACCAAAAAGCCAAGGGGCAGGCATTTGATGCAAGGAAGAACTCTTCCCCCCCCCCAAACCCCCCCCCCCCCCCCCCCCACTTTGTATTCAATTGATATATCGTGAATCCATATGGAAGAAGGGAATGGGTAGACAACAGCATGTTTAATACAGTTGTCTTCACTCCTGCACTTGTTTGGTCAATAAAATAAATAAAACAACAACCAAAAGTTCAGCATTTTTTTAGGGGGTTGGGGTGGATGAGGGCCAATATTGACAGTGGATTTTACAAATTGAAATTACAAGGTGCAAAGGGTGTGCCATTGGCGTTATTTAAGTTGATTGAATTTTGGAGGATTCAGGAAAAAAAAAAATCTAATAAGTCAGGGTGGCAGTACATTTTGAGAGCTGACTTCAACAATTAATGAAATATTGGCATTTGTCCTTCACCTTGCCCACCTAATGTTAGGAATACGGTTTGAAAAAGTGAGTGATTGCTTGCACCCAGTTACAAGGAATTACATGTTCTTGACACACTGCATCACTTTGGACTTTCTTGCCTGTATCCTGTTTTTACCGCTACATATCATCTGTCCCATTCAAGCGCAACATATATGTCGACCTTTCTACTCCATAAACTCCTCCCATCATTTCCCCTCTTTGTGTAGCCCACACCTGGAGTGACCTTTTGATGACCGACTTTCATTATTACAGGAATCATTATCCAGGATAATTACTCAACCTTTCCCTCTCGTAAACAGTTGTCCTTATTGAAATACCAGACGAAGGAAGCAAAGAGGATTTGGAGGACGAGACTTGCTACACAGAGCACAACTTGTCGCTGCTGCTGCAGGAGAAGGAAAGTCTGGAGAAGACTCTTGAGGAGGAGCAGACCACATTGGCCCAGACAGAGCACAGGATGAAAGGCACTATAGAAAGGCTTCGTACAAAGGTGAGTGGGCATTCCATCTGGTCTTGGTCTAAGAATGAGTTTGGATCTTGTTCCCTGAGTGCAACAGGTACCAAGGGCGTCAATCGCTTCTCAAAAGTGGGAGGGGGGACATACCTTGATCAGAACTAATGCAGGCACACTAATGCGACTGCGTTCTTTCAGTGGTCAGATTTCTGTTAGGATGCCAGCTGTCATGGCTGTGGGCGATCATGGTGTGCACTGTTGTTGTCATTGCTCTACATTTTCTACACGTTCTACGTTGTTCTATGCGCTGACGCTGCTTATGATAAATGCAGACAAACCGTTGCACACATTTTGTACACAAGCTCAGATGTGTAGTTTATCCTTGTGTAGAGGATTCGTGGTTTCACTCATACTCTCGTTGCACTAAATAACTGGGCAACAACACATGTGCCTTCTTAAGCATTCATGCTCCAACTGCACACATCATAAAGTGCATAAATGTCAGACTTTGGTGTGCGTTGTCATGGTTGTGATTGGTTACACATCATGGGGCAGAGCCTAATGGATTGGTCTATTAAAATTCCATCTGTAAGCAAATAATTTCTCTGCCCATCCTGCTTGCTCTCCAGGTTGGGTATTTGTCCAACACAAACACGTCACTCAATCAGCAGCTGTCCATGATTCACAAGTCCAGTTTGAAACGTCTAACCAACGACAGCGAGAACCAGTCCATTTTGCAAGAGTTACTGCAACACATATCTGAGCAGCACACCCAGCTGTTGCACCACCATCTAGCACAGCTACGGCTGTACGCTCAGGCCTGCGCATTATCCAAATCAGCCCCCGAGGAATCTGCAGCTGAATCTACAGTCTTGGTACCATACCTTGCTGACCAATCACAGGACATCTCACACATGTCCATGATGTCGTCCTCGGAGGGCACCCTTGGGAACATGGAGCAGACAGTTGTCATGACGATAACGTCTGAGGAGGATTCGGAGCCGCTCGGCAACACCGTGGATAACCCCGGAGATACTGTGGGACATGACTCCTTGACTTTGGATATAAAGGACGTTCACTTGTCACCAAATGACATTCTGTACCTACTGACAAGCGAGGGACTGTCACCAAGACATGCCACCTCTGAGTCGGGTCACGTTTATCAATCAGGTAGAACTCATTCACATCACAACACAGGCTGTGATGTCACGCAACAGGATTTTCACAAGAACAAAAGTTGAAAATTGATTCTTTCCAACAGCATGCCAAAAATATTCTGCCCCGATGGCTTTGACAAAAGAACGTTTGAAGACAAATGTCAAATGAGGGGCCACTATTAAAACGTGGGAGAACTAACAGCCTGAAAGCCACTTAACTAAATAAAACCGGACATATTTTGTAAACAGTGTACACTCAGTGTTGTCTTAGGGCTTAGTTGGGGGGGGGGGACTTGAACTAATGAGTTGAGTCTTCATGGAAGTTTGTCTTACCTGAATGAAAAATTTTACAAAAGCAACTGGCCTTGGTCTCTCCTATCTTTTCGAGTTCTCGATGGGCAATCCCGAATCCGCTCAGTGAATGGGCGTCGTTGTAGGCCCAAACAGATCCACGTAGGTCCTCAAACACTTTATATCTATTACTTAAACATATACGATGCAATTATGATTAACATTGAAACATTTGGTCGTATGTATTAAAACTAGCATTTGCTTCTTTTTTTTTATTACGTATTTTTCAGCATAACTTTTATTTGCATGAATAAAAATGAGAGCAAATGCTTTCACTATTTGCTTCAAGCTAAAAGTATTTGCTTTTTTACTTTTTGGCTTTTGCTAGACTAGAAGTGTGGACTGGTTTCAAACTTGAAAAAATATAAAGTTTCAATTGACCTCAAAATTAATAAAATTTTAAAATCTAAAACTCCAACTGTGGGACTTGAACCAGCAACCTTCAGAAGTTCAGATTTAGGGTCATCAGTCCGTATTACTTGATTAAGCACAACTTCACACTATTTTGTGGTTAGAAAATTAACTAAAGTTTCAATTGACCTAAAAAGTAGTAAAATTTTGAAATCTAAAATTCCCAGCGTGGGAATGAACCTGCAACCTTTAGATTTAGAGTCAGCAGTCTGAACAGCTGCACTAAGCATAATTTCATGCTTTTTAGTGGTTACGGAATTAACTATAACGTTTCAATTTACCCAAAAAGAAATAAAATTTTAAAATCTAAAATTTCCACCCTTGATTTGAACCCACAACCTTCAGATTTAGAGTCAGCAGTCCGTACCATTGGACTAAGCCTAATTTCACACTTTTTAGTGGTTACGAAATTAACTATGAAGTTTAAATTTACCCCAAAAGACATAAAATTTTAAAATCTAAAACTTCCACCCTGGATTTGAACCCACAACCTTCAGATTTCGAGTCAACAGTCAATACCATTGGACTAAGCATAATTTCACACTTTTTAGTGGTTACGAAATTAACTATCAAATTTATATTTACCAAAAAAGAAATACATTTTAAAATCTAAAATTTCCACCCTGAATTTGAACCCACAACCTTCAGATTTCGAGTCAGCAGTCCGTACCATTGGACTAAGCATAATTTCACACTTTTTAGTGGTTACGAAATTAACTATGAAGTTTAAATTTACCCAAAACGAAATAAAATTTTAAAATCTATAATTTCCCCCCTGGATTTGAACCCACAACCTTCAGATTTCGAGTCAACAGTCCATACCATTGGACTAAGCATAATTTCACACTTTTTAGTGGTTACGAAATTAACTATCAAATTTAAATTTACCAAAAAAGAAATAAATTTTAAAATCTAAAATTTCCACCCTGGATTTGAACCCACAACCTTCAGATTTCGAGTCAGCAGTCCGTACCATTGGACTAAGCATAATTTCACACTTTTTAGTGGTTACGAAATTAACTATGAAGTTTAAATTTACCCAAAAAGACATAAAATTTTAAAATCTAAAACTTCCACCCTGGATTTGAACCCGCAACCTTCAGATTTCGAGTCAGCAGTCCATACCATTGGACTAAGCATAATTTCACACATTTTAGTGGTTACGAAATTAACTATCAAGTTTCAATTTACCCCAAAAGAAATAAAATTTTAAAATCTATAATTTCCCCCCTGGATTTGAACCCACAACCTTCAGATTTCGAGTCAACAGTCCATACCATTGGACTAAGCATAATTTCACACTTTTTAGTGGTTATGAAATTAACTATGAAGTTTAAATTTACCCAAAAAGACATAACATTTTAAAATCTAAAACTTCCACCCTGGATTTGAACCCACAACCTTCAGATTTCGAGTCAGCAGTCCGTACCATTGGACTAAGCCTAATTTCACAATTTTTAAAGGTTACGAAATAACTATCAAGTTTCAATTTACCCAAAAAGAAATACATTTTAAAATCTAAAATTTCCACCCTGGATTTGAACCCACAACCTTCAGATTTTGAGTAAGCAGTCCATACCATTGGACTAAGCATAATTTCACACTTTTTAGTGGTTACAAAATTAACTATGAAGTTTAAATTTACCCAAAAAGAAATAAATTTTAAAATTTGAAATTTCCACCCTGGATTTGAACCCGCAACCTTCAGATTTCGAGTCAACAGTCCATACCATTGGACTAAGCATAATTTCCCACTTTTTAGTGGTTACGGAATTAACTATAAAGTTTCAATTTACCCAAAAAGAAATAAAATTTTAAAATCTATAATTTCCACCCTTGATTTGAA